AGAGAGAGAGAGAGAGAGAGAGAGAGAGAGAGAGAGAGAGAGAGAGAGAGAGAGAGAATATACTAGTCTAAAATTCCTTCAAAATGAGAAACCTCCTTAATTACAATGACATGTTCAGACAGACAAAAACTGAAATGCTTAAGGAAATTCTACAGGCAGAAGAAAATGCCTTTGGGTCACAAGTTTGGGGACACAGGAAGAATTGAAAAATGTTAAAATTGAAAACTAAATGAATATTAACCATGTAACCGTGTCCTCTGGGGTTTAAATATGTGAAGAATTTTCAAAAATGAATGTGAAGACACTGCTGGTCATCTAGCCAACACTTAGTCTCCTCTCCCACCTCTCACAACTTTATTCGGAGAGGCAACAGGCCCAGCTGACAGATTTCTTAGCATTCCTTGCTGGGTGAGTCAAAGGATGCATCTTCTGGAAAGGGCTTTCAGGAGCAGCTCACAGGGCTGCATCACCAAGGCAGACAAGGACCCAAGGAGGAAGTGGCTGACCCACTGCCCAAGGCTGCCATGACAGTAAAGAAGCACAGGAAACAGTGGTCTTGGGACTACGCGACCCAAATGGCACCTCGTGGCCTTGAGGGTGTGTGCTGATGTGAGCCTCGTGGGTCTGCAGAGCGGGGACGCTGCCCTTAGAACATCCAAGCTAATAACTGCAAGGGCATGCTGAGGTCCAGACAGCCACGGCCCGTGCTTTGCCTGCCGTGGGTTGTCTGGACTGAAAACCGCAACCAGTAGGTAAGATCTACGCTCAGGATCAACAGGGAAGGCACTGGGCCTGCAATACCCCATGAACTACAGACAGCCCTGGGAACGTGCTGGAGCAGCCAGGCTGGAACTGGGCCCAGGGACGGGCTCTGTGGGGAGGACTGCAGCTCTGGAGAAGCAGCTGGTGACTAGACAGGTGCTCAGGATGAACAGGAGGAGGGACATGAGCACTCATCAAGAATCTGTTTAAACTCAGATTCCAGTAGTGACAACTGTCTTTTTTTTTTTTTTTTTTTTTTTTTTTTTTTTTTCGAGACAGGGTTTCTCTGTGTAGCTTTGGAGCCTGTCCTAGAACTCACTCTGTAACCCAGGCTGGCCTCATGACAACTGTCTTATTTGTGACGCTTGCCCCTGGCAGCTGGTGAAAGAGACACCAGCCTGATGTTCCTGTGACCTTTCGGATGGATTTTGTCCACTCTGTAGTTAAAAAGGTGTGGTGTTTTAAGCTGTAGTCATCTGAAAATGTTTCCCAGAGAAGAGTAACAAAGGGGCCCTGCCACTCACTGCTGAGCTATCATGACTGATGGATTCTGGGAGGGAGGGAAGGAGGGAGGGAGGGAGGGAGGGAGGTGCCCACTGCTGAGCCCAGCAGGCTCGGTGCATAGCCCAAAACCCATGGTCACACCGCAAGCTCAGTGGGTCACAAAACCAAACAAAGAGTCGTGCATATGACAGAAATATTTATAGGCTGGAAGGGGAAGACAGCGGTGCTGGGAGGGAGTGATCAGCAATATAATCATGTTATGTACACGTAGGAAATCACCCAAGGACAAATCCATTAATTAAAAACGCAGAAAATTGGTGAAAGGAGTTCCTTTGTCTCAAGCTCCATGGCTTTTACTTTACTACTAAAATTAAAGCTTATCTGCCAGTGAGTAGAAACTGTCACACAGATGTGATCATGGAGAGCACAGCAGCACCTTGTGCCCACAGCTGAGGGAGGCTGAGCGGCACATGCTGAGCCTCTGGACCCACCCTGGACTGTGAACTTTGAATTTTATTTGGCCAAGTCCCTGGACACGAATTTGGCCACAGGCAGCTGACACAATTCCTACTGCCAGTGACCCATTATACAGTATATACATTATATACACAGTATATACAGTACACCCATCATACGGTATATACATTATATACACAGTATACCCATTATACAGTATATACATTATATATACAGTATATACAGTATATTCATTATACAGTACATACATTCACAATGTCCAGGGCTAAGAAAAGCACAATAAACTAACAAAAGAGAAGTGTGAAAGACCAAACGCCCCTGCCAAAGTCTTCCTTATCAGCTGCCAAAAAACTCAGAAGAATTCAAGAAGGGCACAGGGTATACCCCAGAGATCACATACTGAGTATTTGGGCCAAAGAATTGAACTAGATTTTTTTTTTAAGTCTTGTTTTGAGGTCAGAAAAGCCAAGAGATTGAGGGAGACCAAGAGAGTCTAAGGGAGACAGTGCCTAGTGATTACTGACAAGCATTCAGTTCAAACGTTCATCTCTGGGCCCCAGACTCACCCCTCAGGATGCTGCAGGACAGAAACCATCAGCTCCACAGCCAGGGCACCTGCAATCACAGCCAGGCCTGGGCGGCTCACCGTGCACTGCTGGTCCAGTGTCCGGTCTCTGGTTGACTAACAAGAAACAATCAGTGACATGTATAGAATATTCTAGTCCAGGTAGCCTGAGGTCAACCTGAAACTCCCCAGGTTGACTAACAAGAAACAATCAGTGACATGTATAGAATATTCTAGTCCAGGTAGCCTGAGGTCAACCTGAAACTCCCCAAGATAGAGCTTTAAAATACAACCAGATTGGTGTAGCTGACAAAGGCTGGCCAACCTCACCCTATTGTGTCTTGGGAGGATCATAATAAACAAAACAGAATATGTAATTAAATGAGGCAATATGCTATACAGGATGTGCACTTGTTAAGAGACAGAGACGGGGACACTGACCATCAGCAGCATGGCCTCATGGTGGCTCTGCACCCAGTGCTCCTGTAGAGGAATCCATCCCCTCTTCCTTGCTTAGTGGGTGTGAGGTTGAGTCACAGAGTAACAATCGTGAGTAGCTGGTGACCCTGTCCTGCCATGCTCCCTGAGGTAATGGCTCAGAGGGACTCTGAGGAGGGGGCCACAATTTCCACCCTGCTGTCCTCTGTTCCTGCACACTGCCTCATCAGATTGACTGTAGTCTGAGGACTTAACTGCAAAACTGCAAGCATTTGTTACCATCTGTTTCCATACACAAGCCGAACCTGGGTCAACTCCACAAATTCTAACCTTCCAAATGGGGGCAAATCCTGCAGTTATTCGATGCTATAAAAATGTCATGGACCGAAAAGACATGGCTGCTGTGGAATATTATTTTAAGGTGAGGAGTCAGTGGAAGGCCTGGACTAGAACCCGGGGTTTTAGTCTCCCGTATCTGGGGCTCTTTCTAGAGCTCTTTCTTTCTATAACGGACCAGGCTCTGCAGACGTTTCCTTACTCAGTTTCTGTCCGATGGTTGTAGCCACATTCATGCAGTGACTGTGGCTCAGCCACTCAGGAAAGGGTGCCAATCATGGCTTATGGTTGGATAATGCCACCCACCCAACTAGAGAATGCTCTCTATTAGACAACCTTTAAACAGCCCTGGGAGGACCCTGCCCCAGCACACAGGATGCTGAGTAGAGCTGTTTGTAACCATGGAATTAGACTTACGTCTCCTGGAGCCACTACATCATTGCAGAAATAGCAGCCAAGCTTGTATCCAGGGATGTTAGCAAAGAGCGAGGAGCCCAGGTCAGCAGGCGCCGCAAGGTGGCTCGGGCACAGGTCCCCAGCTCCCTGTTGCTTGGGTTTCTTCAGGCCGTGTCTCATGACAACAAAGGTGTCAAACCCCAAGGCAGCGTTGATGACAAGCTGTTGGCATTGAAGGAACAAAAGGGAGTCAGGAGAGACAAACTAAGGCTAAGTTCACATGCAGCTACCTTTAAATGGCTTTCTTTTTCCTGTGATGTAACTAGACTTCAATAGTCAATTGAAACCTGCAAGAGACTTGAAAAACTGCTAACATAAACCATCTCATTTAAAGCCCCTACAAACATTGCCTTTTTATAGACAAGGATATCAAAGGTCAGAGTTCTACTTCTGTCCCAAGGTCATGCAGCTGATAGGAGAGAGGCGTGGAGGGCGGTTGGTGGGTGCCCACAGCACCTGCCCTGTCCTTTCCGTTCCTTGGAATGTTTTACTGAGACACCATTTGTAAACCATGATTACCACCACATGGGCTTTAAGAGACACTTTCTTCATTTGTGCTGTAAGAACTCTTCTTGGTTGTGGTTTTCCCCCAATTTTTGGTCACATACAAAGAATCAAGAAAATGCACGAGGGAGAAGAAAATAAGGACTGCTCCTGACACAGCTCAGGGGTTCCAGAAACAGCTGGGGGCATTGCCTCTTTTATCTTCTCTCCCTTCCCTTCTTGTCCTTTGCCTCATACATGACAGACAGAAGATAGATAGATGATAGGTGACAGATGGCTGACAGACAGATGGGGATGGATTGTGGTAGAGGCAGACATGCATGTTTTTATATGGAGATGTAACACCTGAGATTCATATGCTATTTTATCTTATAGTATGGTATTTTCTGATGACCATTCTTTGAAAAGCTCCCTGGGAGGGAGAGCACACTTAGGAAAGCATCCTACAGCACAGGCCCTTGACCTTCATCTGTACCCAGAGTGGCACCTGCAGGGATTGCTAAGAGAAAAGTAAGCACGCCCATGCTGGGTGACGGTGTGGGGTAAAGAAGGGCTGTAAGGCCACAGAGGTCACCGTTTCCGGGGGGAGGGTGGGCTGTGGACACTTCTCTCTTGGGTGGCACACCCCACCTTCCGCTTGCTGGCCGCAATGACAGCAGGAAGCCACCGGCTCTCTCTGGTGTCCATTAGCAGGAAGATGACATCATGGCTCTCGATGAGCTGCTCCAGCCGCTCCACGTCTCTGCGGGCCTGCTCCAGCGTGACACCAGAGAAATTCACAGGATGTCCCGGCATGGGGATGCTCATGTTGAAACCGCTGGCATTCTAGGGAGGCAACGGCCATACTTGTGTCACTTACAACCAGGAACTTTCTGTGTATAGTATTACTGCTCTTTCCCTCAGATACCTGGGCCTCTTCACCACCTTCTCCACTTCCTTGAGCCATGTATGTGTGTGCATGCATACATGTGTCTGTGTGTGTGTGTGTGTGTACATGTGTATGTGTCTGTCTGTCTGTGTATACATGTGTGTATGTGTGTGCCTCTGTGTGTTTGTGCATGCGTGCACGCATTCGTGTGTGTGTGTGCGCGTACATGTGTATGTGTCTGTCTGTGTATACATGTGTGTATGTGTGTGCCTCCGTGTGTTTGTGCATGCGTGCATGCATTCGTGTGTGTGTGTGTGTGTGTGTGTGTGGTGCTGAGGATGGAGCTCAGAGCCTCAGGTGCAATACAGCCAGGGATGTTCACTTTCCACAGAAGACAAAGTGTGCCAGCATCACAAACTGCGCCTCCATCTTCTGCATCCCACGGGCCACGGGCAAGTGTGATAACATTGGCTTTCCCAGAGCTGTCGAAACACTGACTGGAAAGACGATTGCAGGGGGTGGGCAGCAAGTCTGCAAAAGCTAGGAACTAAGTGGCAGCACTGAGATTCCAAGCAACGTCTGCACGGGAAACGGTTGGTTCCCAGTCCTCTCCAGTGACAGACTGGACTGCTCTCCCAGGTGGGCCTGCCTATCTCACCTGGGGTAGGATGACAATCTGTGCCTTCTTCCCTAGAACTCTGCAGGCTTCCCACTGGGGAGACAGAGTACACTGCCCAACGCCACGGAGCCTGGGCTTGGCCTGTGAATTGCTTGAGCAATGGGAAGAGAATGGGAATTGCTGTGTTGAGGTTGACATGAGACTCTCTAGCCTTCTCTTCTCTCAGAACTGCAGGACCAGGAGACTGTGGCTCCTCAAGCCTCCATTTTGAAACAATCACATACAGGGCAGACTGGAAGCTGAGTCCAGCTTTGCCTATCAGCTAACACATACAGCCTTCATACCTCTGGTGTAGACTCACAGCTGGATGCCACTGAGATTAGGGGACTATGAGATATGTCACGCTGTGCTAGAGAGACCTAACTAATGTCTCAATGGTGGGGCTGTGGCTACCCAACACATAGCTGGATATGTAGTAGATATGTAGTCAATGCTATAGAATTCCACTCAATAAATGATGCTCCTGAGGATGCTTATGAAATAAAACCATTAACAACAGTAGGCTTCGGTAACAGACAAATCAGTATTGAAAGGCTAAAGGCAGGCAGGCTTTCCATAGCCGGGCTGAGGGTGCTGCTTCTAGCCCTGTAAGTACAAGCAGAGCCTCAGAGGTCACTAATGTGTCCCCGTTGGGTAAAATGATCATATTCTTGCTGAAAGGCTTAAAACACATCTCAAAACTTACTTTTATTCAAGTGTGTTGAGTGTGTTGGCTAGTTTTTGACAAATTTAAAGCTTAATGGAGGAATTGCCTCTATCAGGCTAGCCTGTTGGTATGGTGCTGGGGATGCTATGAATGTGTTGCTCTGATAGATTGATAAATAAAATGCTGATTGGCCAGCAGCCAGGCAGGAAGTATAGGCGGGACAAGCAGAGAAGAGAATTCTGGGAACAGGAAGGCTGAGTGAGGAGTTGCCAGCCAGACACAGAGGAAGCGAGATGTAAAAGTACCTGTAAGCCACAAGCCATGTGGTAACTTATAGATTAATAGAAATGGGTTAATTTAAGATGTAAGAGCTAGTCAATAGTTAGCCTGAGCTAATGGCTGAGCAATTTTAATTAATATGAGCTTCTGAGTGATTATTTTATAAGTGGTTGCGGGGTCCATGGGGCTGGGCAGGACTGGAGAAAACTTCAGCTACAAATGGCACCCAACGGCTCGAGTTTCCACCTCAAACCAGAGAATACTTAATAATCAATTTGAAACAGAGCCAAAACAAGATTTCTACTTCACGTCTCATGCGGGTGGCTAGACGCTGCAACATGTGGGCTTGTGTGGTTCGGCGTGCGGGTTTGGCCTGCATGCAACATGGCAGATTCCCAGCCGCGCAGTATGCTGCGGGGTGGATATGGCTTTTGCTGGCTTGCCAGCTTCTGGGGACTCTCCTGTCTCTGCCTCCTTTCTTACCATGGGAGCACTGGGATTACAAACACATACTTCCATGCCTGGCTTTATATGGGTTTTGAGGATTCAAATGCGAGTCTTCATGTTTACATAAAACATTACATGTCAAAACTACACAGGGAAATCCTGTCTCGAAAAACCAAAACCAACCAACCAACCAAACAGAAAACAAAAATTTTACATGCTTTGTCCAATGACCCCTCTCTTCAACATCTTAGTGGTGCTTTTAGAAGGCCACCACTAAGGTGAGGCAGTAAGCTTGGTCATATGATGCCTTCTGGTAGGAAATACCACATGTTTGATCCTCAGTCACCAATACTACAGAGCCTCATTCCCCAGGATCCCTGGGACTTAAACATTTGCAGTTTACAGGGCAAGAACATGACTATTCCCTGCAAATCATCAACGTACCACTCCGGGAAATATTTTCTGGAGCCGCTCTGCTGCAGCCAGGGCCTTGGGCCTGCCACCCCCCAGACAATCTTCAAATTCATACAGAGGCTGCCTCACAGGGTTGGAGTAGGAGATCTTGGCGTTGTCCACAAATGTGACATGTCTGACACCCCAGCCCTGCACAGAAACAGGAAACCATACCTGATGAGCATGTCTCAGTACACACTTCTAGAAGACTCTAGGAAGGATTTTGCTTCTAAGCAGCTGTGGACCTTAAAATATAGGAAACTGAAGAACCTGAATTGTACAAATCCAGTTTTTGATCATTAGAATGTCAACTTCTTTTTAAAAGACAAAATAATTATATGCCGGGGCCTAGATTCCCACCGTCATTAGACCAGGAAATAGCAGAGTAATTGTCACCTAGAGTGTTATTTTTGACAGTGCCACTAGGGTGAGATTGCAGTGAACG